CGCATTCTGGTGTAGCCAGAGCTGCACGGCCAGTCACCGGCCCTGCTGGCCTGCTGGCCTGAACAACAAGGGCAACCACATACCTGCGCGCCACGTGTGAGCCAGGTGTGTGGCTGCGGCATGTCGGCGGTTAGGAAAGGGCCGGCGGGGACTGGCCGAACCGGTCTCCCTCCAAGGCCAGCTCGCCCGCCGCTCGTCGAGAGGCTTGTAACTCTGTAAGCTCACAGCCAGCCTGGCTGGGAATTGGCCCCACGCTGCCCGCCCCCCAGGGCACGCGAGCATGGCATTGCGCGGCGGCTGCCGAGGCACTCGGGCGCCAGGGCAAAGGGGCGCAGAGGCGTTCTGGAACGTGCTCGTGGCCACGGCGCATGACAGCGGCCGAAACGTCCGCCCATCGGGGACAGGCCGGGCCCGGGTGGCCCAGCACAGCGGTCAGAGCAGCAGCTCCTGGCCTGTGGGGATGCCCGGGCCCTCCTCCCGCCTCCGCCACCCCAGGGTTCCTCTGGGGGTCCCCGGGGGGCCCTGCGCCCCACTCGGCAGACATTTGCCACGACGAGGGGATCACCATGCTCGGAGGCCTCTCGGAGCTCGGCGAGGCTGCGAGAGGGCGGGTCTGGGCCCTGGCTGCCACCCCAGGCTCGCACGCCGGGCAGGGGGCACCTCGCGACCACCCTCACGCCGACCTGCAGGGCCGCTGAGGTGTCGCCTGGACGGAGCCTCCCGGAAGGTGACGCTCCCAGCCTTGGGCCGGGCAGCCGGCAGAAACAGGTGTTTCCAGTTTCGCTCAGGGCACTCACTGCGGACAGCGGCTGGAGCAGCAAGGCGCCAGGGTGTCAGACCGCGGGGCTCCCCAAGCCGCAGGCGGGCACCCCGCTCCCTCGGCCTCGGGTGTCCCCTCTGAGCACCCAAGGGAACCCACTTTGGGGTCGCCCCCCCCGGGCCGGCAGTTCCCCGGTGACGCCGGGTTTTGAGAAATGAGGCTGCCGAGGTGGTGTGAAAGCAGGGGAGGGGCGGGCCGAGG